GCCTGTACGGAGCAATCCTGCAGTCATACAGGGTCACTGTGGGTTGGGGTCTAGTTGATGGAACGCAGAAACAGTCAATTTGTTGAAGGTGTATACTCGTGCTCACATACGTGACAATACATTTTGAGGGGCTGTGCACCCACCCTCTTTATCTACCCTCAACTTGTCATAGCAATTTTGTTCATGTGTTCAGTGGGTGAAGTGCTTGGGTGCTTAATCAAGCCATTGGTCGTTCTGACCTAAGAGCTGTTCTGCAAACAAAATTGTGTCTGTTTTCATGAAGATTTACAGCCTCGGAAACCCTACAGAGCAGTTCTGCTTTATGCTGTGGGGTCTCTGTGGGGTCACTGTGGGTCAGAACCAACTCAATGACAAGTCTGGGCTTATTATTTCACATAAGTTTAAATAACTGTAAATAGTTTCAATAACTTCTGGTACAGGGCAGATACTGACATTTAAAAATAAATCTGGAAAAAAATGTCTAAATGGCAAATGTTTTTACCACAATAAAAATAAATTTCATTAAAAAAAAATCAATCCACTGCATAAATTCAAGATGTATAAAATAGGATAAAGAAACCATAGAAATTTAATCTCACCCATCATTTATTTTTAAAATGCATGACCCACTTCTTGTTCTCCCTGAAGTTTAAATCTACATTCTTTTTCACCTATCAAATTTTATCCTAGTGTCATGTATTTTTATGCTCCGGTGTCTCCGACGGTACTAAAACAAAAATGTCTAAAAATTGTCAAAAATTAAAAACTCTTATTTGTTTGAAATTTTTAAGATTACATTACAATTAGAATTTTTTTCTTTTTCCTTGTTGTGTACCAACTGGCACAGCAGGAGATTGTCCTTCCTTCTCAAGCAGAGCATCTGGTGGATTTGAACCACGTGCCTTTGGGATTTCAGTGCAGCTTCTTGCCACTAGGCCACCAGAACTCCCTACAATTAGATTTTTTTTTTACCAAAAAATGTATGTTTTGTAACTTGCAGGAAAATTACTAATATAAAAAGTAAATTCTGTATGGAAATACACATCTTCAGGATGGACTCGAGCAATTGATCTGAGGGGCAATGGCCGGTCAGAGTCAAGATTCTCGCTTTCTATGCAGGAAACCAGGGTTCGAGTCCTAACCAATGTACCTCATGCACAGCCAGCCCCTGTCAGTCACTGGAGGCCTGTAAGTTTCTAAGCAAATTTTCAGTGGTGTTTCCAGACTGAGATAGACTAGGAAAAAAGGCCTAGCTATCTATATCTGAAAACCAGCCACATCAGTCCTCACCTGTGTGCAGGGCATCACATCTCAGCCTATGACAACAATGAGATGGCCTGAGGGTGACCTCCTAACTGTCCCTTTGTCCTTTTGAAGGTAATGGTTAGAAAGGACAGAGATGTCTGCTGTTCTAGCCATATGTCACTTCACCGAGTTTTAGTGGGAGCAGAGGCACTGGGCAAGGAAAAAAGGACGGAAGCCCCAGCACAGCCCTCAGACAGCCCAGGTGAAGCGATCTAAGTGTCACATGGGCTGGGATATTGATGGCAGAGGCAGCTCCATCTACAACATCACCCAGCAATAATTGAATGACCACCTGGAGGGGCCTGCAACCTCCACACCATGTAGCAGCAGTTTGCCATGAAGACGGTGGGCACTCTAAATGCACAGCCTGGAAGGCTTCCACAGATCAGCACACGATGGAATGGACAGCGCACGTCCCCTGACGGAAAGTACGAGGAGACACGCCTGGTTACCCTGCACTGAGTGGCCAGCGGCTCTGCTCCAATCTCACTGTCTGCATCCCAGCCTGCTCGCTCCTGGCTTCCTGCCCAGCACCCGGCCCCTGATGCCTCCTCACCGCCCGCTGCTACTGGAACTTCCTCCCTGCCCGGCTCCAGGCCCTGATGCCTCCTCACCGCCCTGCTGCTACTGGAACTTTCTCCCTGCCCGGCTCCAGGCCCTGATGCCCCCTCACCGCCCCGCTGCTACGGGAACTTTCTCCCTGCCTGGCTCCAGGCCCTGATGCCTCTTCACTGTCCTGGAACTTTCAGGGCCTTTGCACTCACTGTACCTCCCGCTCAAGAAATACTCTCCCCAGTGCAACAATGAATGAATGAGAACCCAAAATCTCTGTAAATGGTCATTAAAACTAATAAAATTTAATAATAATAAAAAAAAATACTCTCCCCTAAATACCCACACCGTCCACCCTCTCGTCAGTTCCAATCAAAATGCATGCTCCACTTTGGGTACATCAACGCCATGTTAGCACATACCCTGTTTCATTTATCTTCTTAAGACGTCTAATCTGTAATTCATTTCACTTTCTTTTGTTCATCACACGCCTCTGGTCAGGAGACCTGGTGGCACAGTGCTTAAAGCATAGAGCAGCTGACCCAAACACTGACAGTTCAGACCTGCCAACTGCTCCCTGGGAGAAAAAAGAGGTGACCACGGGTGTCTGTAAAGACTGACCCTTAGAAACCCTATAGGGCGGTTATTCTCTGTCACACATTTAAAAAAACTCCAAAACTCCACACCCACCGCGGCCGAATTAGTCAGCTCTGACACAAGGTGACTCTCTACTGGGTTTCAGAGGCTGTAAACCTCCAAAACCTCAGCAGACTGCCTCTCCTTCCTGAGCGGCGGCTTGTGGATTGAGACCTTAAGGTCAACAGTACATTAATATATGTCACCCCCCGGCCCCTGCAGTGTCATATAAAGTCACCCTGTAAGTTGGAATTATTTCAACAGTAGTGAGTTTTATGAGAAGACTCTCAAGACCAAGAGGAGAAGCAGGGACCTGGGTCTCTTTTGAAGCAACTGCGTCTTTAGTGCTGAAAACTGTGCCAGGCTGTGGCCGACTCTCAGCAAAGAATCCTTAACAAAGAATGAAAAGTGGATTGGATAGGAGTACTTTCCATCCTATTCTCTGTGTATTATCAGAATTTCTTTATTTTTGTAGCACACAATTGCTAACATGGACATGAACTAGAAAGATGTATCATTGTTGTTGTTGTTGTTGTTGTTATGTGCCATTGAGTGGCTAGGGACTCATAGCAACCCTATGTACAAGAGCTCTAAATGCTGTTCTATCCTGTGCCAACCTAGCCATCTCAAACGCACTTATTCCCACCGCTCCAGTCACAGAATCGATCCATCTCACCAAAGGTCTTCCTCTCCGACGCCCCTCCGCTCTGCCAAACATGATGTCCCTCTCCAAGGACCAGTCCCTCCTTGCAAAATGCCCAAAGCATGTCAGACGAAACTTCAGAATCCTTGACTCCAGGGAACACTCTGCCTTCACCCTCTCCAGGACAAACCTGTTTGTTCTCCTAGCAGTCCATGGTATATTTAACACTCTTCTCCAGCACCACAGCTCAAAGGCATCAATCCTCTTTCTATCAACCCTATTCACTGTCCAACTCTCTGATGCATAGCACATAACTGCGAAGACTATAGCCCGGATCAGGCGCACCTTAGTCTCCAGCCTGACATCACTGCTCTTCTGTACTCTTGAGAGGTCCCTCACAGCCAACTTTCCCAATGTATCATTAAGATAATTAAAAAACACTGACATTGAGAGTTAGGTAACATATTTCTAAAGAACCCATGCATTAAAGAAGAGCCCCCATGAAAAATTATCAAATATACAGAACTGAATGACTAGGAATACACAACGCCAACGTGCAGTTAAGGAATTCTTAGAGGAACATTTATATCTACATGCCTGTAGGAGAAAGGAGGGAAAAGCTTAACTAATCTAAGGTTCCACCTGAAGACACTGGGAGAAGCCCACTAAGCCTACAGTAAATGGACAGAAGGAAAGAAAGAAAGAGGATATGGCAGAAATTAGACGAGGCCTCCCTCAACAAAACTCTGTAACAACAAAGCTCTGAAAAGGTACCTTGATGAATCACTGTATTGTTAGGTGTCATCAAGTCAACTGACACTCACAGCACCCCATGAAGAACGGATCTGAACCCTGCCCCATCCTGCCCCACCCGCAGGGTCTCTCTTACCCTCAAGGCCGCTGCTACAGTCACTGTGTCACTCCACCTTGAGGGGGGGCTTTTCTCTGACCCACCACCTTTCTCAGCCTGATGTTTCTCGCCAACATTAGCAGAACTGACTTTTGAAAAAAGAAAAGCTGAATTACCAATGCCAGGGATGAAAATGGAAACATCACTCATTGTACACTTTATGGATATTTTAAAAATACCAAGGGGATATTATGAACCATTTTTTTAATACTACGAACAACTTTATGCCAATAAATGCAATAATTTAAAAAACAAAATTTTTGAAAACCAACACAAAAAACTGAAAATGTGAACAATTACTCAGTAGAATAATGAAAGTAAACATTGCTACTGACAATAGAACAGACTCTGAGTTTGTCTGAAAGTGACACTTGTTGTTGTTGTTATGTGCTGTTGAGTCACCTGTGACTCATAGCGATCCTATGTACAACAGCCCTAAACCCTGCTCTGTCCTGGGCCAGCCTCACTGTCTCCAACACACCCACCCTCATTACCCCAGTCACTTAATCAATCCATCTCATCGAGGGTCTTCCTCTGCTGCACTGTCCTTACACCCTCCCAAGCATGATGTCCCTCTCCAAGGACTGGTCCCTCCTTGCAACATGTCCAAAGTGTGTCAGACAAAGCCTCAGAATCCTTGCCTCAAAGGAGTAGCCTAGGCCTCGGGCCTCGGCGCCGCGGTCCAGGCTGCTCCGCAGGATGCCGGGGGTGGCCGTTTCTGCCCCGGCTCGTCCTCTCACGCTCGCGCGAGTCCGCGAAGATGTGAGGGACGGGTGCGCGGCGGGGCGGAGACCGGGCCGGCATCGAAGGAGCTGCTGCCTCCGTCGACTTCTGCACCGAGCGGAAATCCGTCAGATTCTAGTATGGGACGGACCAGAGAGAATCCATGTCGGGAGTTCTTCAAGTATGAAAAGATTGAAAATAAAAAGCACTTGTAAAATCTGTAACACAGACATGGTTGGAGACCACGCAGCCAACTTAGAAAGGCACCTGAAACGCCACCACACAGGCGAATACAACGCAGTGCAGAGCAAGAAGACCAAGAAGACAGAAGAGAGTGTCAGGAGTGCTCCAAGCAAACAGCAGAAAGTCTTAGAGGAGCTGGCCCTTCCAGAATTCCTGAAGCACTCTGCTGGCAACTCCAACAAGACCTTCCACACAAGGATGCTGCCTGGCCTCTACCTGCCTCCTGTGGACCCCACAACCACCTTGGAGGAGCTGGAGGCCGCCCACCTGAGCTTCCGAAGCTTCCGCTACCAGGAAGCAGCTGGGCCCCTTGAGGCCCTGGCCCGGCTGCGCCAGCTGTGCCACCAGTGGCTGCAGCCTGAGGCTCGTTCCAAGGAGCAGATGCTGGAGCTGCTGGTGCTGGAGCAGTTCCTGGGGGTGCTGCCCCCCGAGATCCAGGCCTGGGTTCGTGAGCAGCATCCAGGCACCCCTGAGGAGGTGGTGGCCCTGGTGGAAGGCCTGCAGCATGACCCTGGGCAGCTCTTGGGCTGGATCACAGCCCATGTTCTAGGGCAGGAGGTATCTCCAACACCTCAGAAAGCCAAATTAGCATCACAGGGTCACCTCCCCTCAGGCTCTGCAGAACCCCGTCTTGCCCTGACAGAGGGGCCTGCCCAGCTCAACTGCAACGTGAAGGAGGAGCCAGATGCCGACAGGCAGCAGATAGCTCCGCCTGTTCCTCTGATTCCAGCCCAGGGACCTGAGAGGCACCTTGAATGTCAGAACACAACCTCTACATCGTTCCTTCCTCCCAGGATGCAGGAGTGGGGGCTGCTAGACACATCACAGAAGGAGCTGTACTGGGACTCGATGCTTCAGAAGTATGGGACCGTGATCTCTGTGGGAGATGAGGGCAGGAGCCTCCTGGAAGCGCCCGCAGCCTCCCCAGAGGTCTGGCCTCTGCATGGCCCAGCCACCATGGATGTCCCAGTGCCGCAGGCCAGTGGTGTACAAGGCTGGGCCGCGTCACCCGGGCCTGGGTTGGAGACACGGGCACCACTCAGGAAACCCTATATATGTGAGCAGTGCGGCCTCGGATTTGATTGGAAGTCAGTATTCGTCATCCATAGGCGAGCACATGCAGGGAGCCAGCCGGCATTTGGAAGTGCTGAGAGACCACCACCAATCACTCCAGAGCCACGGTCGCGTCCCTGGCACATCCCCACTGGCCCCTTCAGCTATCCTTGTGAGGAGTGTGGATGAAGCTTCAGCTGAAAGTCACAGCTGGTCATCCATTGTAAGAGCCATGTTGGACATAAACGACACTTCTCTGGTGACTGTGGCCAAGCTTTTGATTGGAAGTCCCAGCTGGTCCTCCATAGAAAAAGCCATCGGCCTGAGACCCTATGAGTGCACAGTGGAGGAGGTCCCAGCTGGCTCTGGCCACTCAGTCTGCCGCCCGTAAACTTGATGTGGCCGAAGGCATCCGAGTCACCCAGGGGTGTTGAGGCCCCAGCCCTTGTCTGACTAGAGGAAGAGAACCTGGGCTTCTTCTTGCTCCAACTCCTGGAACGAAACCTGACTTTGAATTTACTGCTGACTGGAGATCATGCTAAAAAAAAAAAGAGGTGGCTTAGTCTGTAGGGTGTTGCACTGC